TAGAGCCTTATCGAGAGTCCTCTTTTCCTGGAAGAGTACAATGTCCGCCACCTAGTATTGAGATCAAGAACCACGAGGAATATGAGGTTGAAAAGGTACTGGATTCACGGCAAAGGTGGAGCAAGTTGGAGTATCTTATTCATTGGTGCATCTACGACATTAATGAGTGAACGTAGAAGCCAGCTGAAAATCTTGCCAATGCGCCGCAAAAGGTACAGGAGTTTCATCAACAACATCCTCATAAACCTCAGCTGGTTTGACGATAGCTTCCTTTTGAAGCTTGCTCACCCAAGAATATAAGAAAAGGGGAGAGCACCACCAAAATTTATAGTTGATGTAGTTATTTTCTCCAAGATAAAATAGAATTTTTTCAGTAGCCATAGTTTGGTCTTCTGATATGGATAGCCAAGAGATAGATACTATGTCAGTCAAATTATCTCAACCGACTAGCTCACGAAGGCGACCCTGAGATGAAGAACCGCCTATACTACAACGACGACGGAGGATACCGAGTAACTGATTATTGGTGATTGTATTTGAGTCCGAGCCTGCTTACGATGGTCAGCCAGAAGGCGTGTTTGCAGGACAATTTCACAATGAGGACACGGAAGTTCATGCTTGGTCAGAAGTTGAAGGAGTGGGCCACTACCGTTGGCTTCAAGGCCGATGAATCACTTGCCTCGTGAACAACATTTGGAGTTCATAGCAGACGTTATGCGATAACTCTTTATTTTCTCGTATTGGTACTGATCAACAACATTGCTTCTCAGAGACCTTGAAGCTAAAGGAGGGGGTGATGTTAGAGACATAATCCTTAGAACCTTCTAGAGACAAGTTTCTAGAACCTTCTAGAAGCAAGTCTCTGGAACCTTTTAGAAGCTTCTTAGTTGGTAGAAGATATTAGTAATATAGTCCTTTGAACCTTCTAGAAGTAAGTCTTTGGAACCTTCTAGAAGCTTCTTATTTGGTAGAAGTTGCTTGAGAAGCTTCTTAAATAGAAGTATATATTGGAATCGAGGCTGAAGAATTCTTCAGTTTCGACAACACATCTCTTGGAGCTCTAGCTCACCTCTCTGGTGTTGTTCTTGTATTCATCTGATTAATCTAGTTCTTACTAGTTCTTCTTGAACTTCTTGTTAAATCTCGAGTTTGTATTTCTGTGTCCGTGATAGCTTTTCATTTTGTAATTACGTTATTTCTTTAGACAATGTTGAGCAGTATGTTTAGCTTCTCCACAATATAAGTATAAACTATCTTTACATTGTGAACTCTTTTCCTGCTCTGTGAGGGATTTAAAACATATCATATCAATTTGTATTGGTTTTGGCTTTAATAGATAAGTTTCTGAAAACTTAGGAGCTAACGTCATTTTTTGATTTGTTCCTCTCTAATCATATCTTTATTCTTAATGACTTTCAAATAATTGATTATCACATGCAATGGTTTGAGCAATAAATTGTTATAAAGTTTTTATTTTTGGCATTGCTAGTCACAAGTCTTTGAGATTATCTTTCAATCTATATCAAAATTGATTAATAAGGGTTTTGTCATTCTAGTTTACGTCGCAAGCAAGGTTTTGGAATTTAGCAACATATATGGTAGTTGACCGTGATCTTTGCCGTACAAATAAGAGCTTAATCTCTGCTATTCTTTCTCAATCACCTTCTCCAAATGTGGTCGTAAATACTTTTAGGAATGAATTCAAATCATAAAGTAGTTAAAAAATTTTTTCCATTAAAGATGCAAACTAAGAGAGAACACTTCTTGATAGAAGTGCACATGTGAATCCGACTTGAGTAAATCCATTGGGATATTGGAAAGGGTGCAACCTTAAGTAAAGCTTGACTTATTACAAATATCCTCAAAATTTTGATCTTATTCTATCAAAATTCTCAGGCATACTAATTCTTATCCCCGTCATACTTGTAGAAACAAAACTTCCTGGATTTGATTGTGAGGTCGATCTATTTGCTTCCTTCAACTGCACAACTTCTTACTATAGACTATGAACTTCTTCTATAGGTGTAGGCATAGTACCTCTATGATTCATATTAGAAATATGTGAGATTTTTAATCTTAGAGTATTAATAAGTTCATAAAGATTTGTAATAGTTGCAAATCTATTCTCACTTCTGCTAAGAGTAGCATCTATAATCTTTTCTTCTATAGACAACTCAAATAAATTAAAAAATTTAAATTAGAAGAGGGTAATCCAAAATTTCTAATAAATTTTTTTACAAAGAAAGATAATCTACTCTTTTTAAGAAAAAGAACAGTATTAAAAAATAATATTTTTGTTTAAAGGTAGATAGTCCACAACCTTCATAATACAATAATAGAAGTAAGATAATCCATTCAATTCTAAAATAAGATAAAAAAAATATATTAGCATTCTTATCAAATTGTGAAGGACATGAATCTTGAAGAAAAAAAATCCTCAACACACTTTTGTATCTTTGAAAGGAACTAGAAAGTCAGTCAAAGATGATATAATATTGAACTAGAATAGCTATTACCAAAAACAAGAAGACTAGAAAGTCTTGAAACAAGACCAAAGACTAAAAAGACATTGATAAGAGTGAAGAAGGCTTCACTGTGGCCTCCATATATACTCTTAACTAGGAGTTGTGTAGCGATATCCTATAGGACCTTCAAAATATATTGACTTTGCAAGACATGTATTTTAACTTATAAGGCAATTTTTTTTTATATGTAGCACACATAGTTAGCTTCTTTTGCAAGCTATCAAGATGTGGTTATCTTGTTGATCAAATTTCTAACCTATCAATCAACTACAAACATATGTAAAGTCAAGCAGTCTCTATGAAGCTTCTAGAAAGCTTTTCTAAAAGGTCTTATGAAATTAACCTACTTTTATCTATTTTTATCTATTTCTATCTAATCATATAGATATTTATTAGAATACTTATATATGTCTATGACATTATTTCATAATTAAGTCTTGCTGTTATATAATGTATAGTAGGTTCTTTTATCTTTTAGGATTTCAATACCACAATAAAGTAATTGTAGGATTTTAAAAAGCTTATAAGTAAAGTCATGGTAATATATACATCTTTGAAAAGTTTAGCTTTAACTGGAATATTTTTTGTAAGTTCCTTCACTTTGTTGATGTGTACTATGAGATCTTCACTTTTTTCTAATTTACAAGTAAAAAATTTCATCTTTGTATAGATGATATTAGAAAATTTCTTACTTTCATGAATGTTAGAAAGATTTTTTTATACTTTCATTGATTCTTTTAAGTAATAATGTTAGAATAGTTGGCTTTATTAATATTAATTGCAATCAATTCAAAAACCTTTTTACAATATTTATATTCCTTCTTTTCCTTCATGTTAGCATATGTGCTTGGAAACTCTTTTATTTATCTATAATATTCGAAAGATCCAAAAAAGCCAATATAAGATTTGTTTCACCTTCTAATAGTAGAAATTATCATTTTTAAATTTTTTAATTATTCTTAAGTTATCACCTTTACTTAATGTTTTATCTAAAGAAAAGATGTATTCAAAAAGAGGTCTTTTAAATACCATAAGTGGCCTTTTAAAAATAACTTAAGTTTTTTTCACCACTAAAACCAAAAAGTTAGTCTACTAAAAATCTAACTTAGCAAGAAAATACAACACAAATATTCTAAAACATCTCTTTTAAATATAAAACATATACTACACTCGAAAATATATTCAACCATAAGTAAGTATAAATCTAGATCTATGTCTAAAAGTTATATGATTTAAAATCCTAAAATTGGAAATAAAAAGATGATCTATTTATTACAACAATAAAATAATCAAAAAACTTTAAAAATGCAAACAAATGTGTGAAAGTATATAATCTATCAAAGAAATAAGAAGTATAAAGTCTCAACACTTAGCATCAACAAAGATACACATAAAGTGAAATGTACAGCAAGATGATTCTTACTTTTAGTATATTTTACTTGAAGAAGACAATTATATTTGATGTAGATAAACTTCATCTACAATCATCTTCATTCTACTTTGCTTCATCCAAGCAAATCCTAAATTCATCTTAACATATCTACCACCCAAAATTGTAGCCTCTTCTTTAATAACATTTTGTACGTTTTTGCTCTATTTTGACAGGACGGATGAATGAACATGCGCTTTGCTTTGCTTCGATTCCATGTCTGGATTGTTTGAAGAGAGCTCGCAGTGACGAAGCATCGCCACGCAAATGTGGGCACCGGAGGCGTGGGGATCGGTGTGTCTGTCTGCTCTATGCAAGAGGGATATTGATCAGGTGGTGCTCGCCCGCTTCGGTGTCTACAGCTACGAGGCGTCTTCCGAAGAGAGATGGATTGATACAATAACTTGATGTACACCATGAGAAGAGGAAGAAAAAGATGAAGAAGAAGCAGCAGGAGTGGAAGCGCAGGACGCTGGGTTATTAGCAAGCACAAAGGAGAAACGGTGCCGAAAGTGCCATCACCCACAAATGATTCGAGTCCCCAGGTTGGTTGGTTAGTACCTGCACAAAGCGTTGAGGATTTTTCTGAAACCTTTTCGTTCCGAATGCGAAATTAAAGGGTTGGATGAAGAGCCAGCAATATGCCAGTCGAGCGCAGATAACGACAATGTCAATCCAAAGGGGTTGTTATCCAGGTCCACCAGAAGAAGGTCGGAGCCATTTTCCGACGACGAGGGCAACACACCCCCCACTGAGAAGAAGACGGGGACGAAGAAGAAGAAGCAGAATTAAAATATACAAATAGATAAATAAAAGAATACAAAATGAAAATTCGAAGTGCGATTGACTGTTTCAACGAGGAGTACATGCGCAGTATTCGATAAATATGAACATGTGCATCATCAGGCTTGGCTCCAGGTTTTGAAATTTGAATCCAGAAGTGGTAGCGAGTAGTGATTTGTTGCTGCAGGATGGTTCCACATCGACTGTGGATTACAAGCTCCGAAGCAGTCGATGGAGATGGTGGGTCAACGTGGTTTGACTGCGGAAGGGAATGTCTGGCCACGCTCTTAAGGATTCGCTCTGCCTTCAGCCGAACTGAAAGAACATTGCCGCTTACATTCCTTTTTTTCTTCTTTTTTTAGTACAGTTTTTAAAGCTTTTTATATATTTATTTTCATTTTTATTTTCATGGGTTCCTTTGCTTCCCCCGCTTCCTTCGGCGCCTCAGCTCCCTTTCAGCCTGAATCCGCGTTTCTAGTTTCAAACCCATACTGTCGTACTCACACTCTGGCTCCGAACCTGATTCCAAAGCCCTGCTAGGGGCTTGCATTTGTCTGGTTTGCTTTCATTTCAAAGTATTGGAGTCTGTTGCTTTTCGTCTTGTGAATCTGCCAGTTTGTGGTGGTCAGCTGCAACGGCTGTTTCTCCTTCTTTTCTTCTATATTTTAAAAAATACTCTTTTTTTTATTTTCGTTTATTTTTTTTCGTCTCGCCGTGATTGTAGCAGAGGGGTTGTTTTGTGACATGGCTGATTCGTAGTGGTTTTGGTCGAGAGAGGTGCATCGTCACATCGCTGCTTCTTTGAATCTGGAGCTATAACGAGGTTTTGTGATTGTAGGGCTGGCGGTGATGACTTGTTGGTGAGGGGTAGCTTTGTATCTGTGATCCGGTTTCCTCCGGGAGCCAGACCCTGCTGTTTCTCAGCCATTATTTGGAGTTGTTGTTGCTGTTGTTGTGGCCATTGTGGGTTGAAGATGTTCGACGGAGCCAAACGAGGTCTGCGAAGGAGTGGCACAGAAGGAGCGATTAAAGGAGTTCCAGGACAGTGTAGAATCATTCATCAGCAACAGAGCATAGTGCAGGGTTGGTTTCTGTAGCTAGTGTATTTCTTCGAAGGTGTGAGTTTAGCAGCCTAGCTGCTGCATTTCAATAGGCGTTTGTACGGGCGAGAGGAGGAGCGTGGGTTGATTATTATCTGCAGGTAAGTTTTGTTTTGTTTTTTTTGTTGTGGAGAACAGTTCCGCATAGGAAGAGTCTGCACTACTTGAGGTTTAGCATTACCTCTCGTGAAGTTTTGTAATACGCACCTGAGAAAATCTGGGCAGTTAAGGATCCGCTTCTTTACTCCTTTACATGTCCAGTTGTGCGGAGTACTTTTTTTCGTATGTTGCGGATCTGAGTAAAAACCCACTGCCCGTCCGTGTGGCGATGTCTATCAACGTAGTAGTTGCATTTTCTGCAATAACATGAATGTTTTTAGGAAAGGATCTAGTAACTTGAGCAATGCATACTTCGCTTGCTGAAGGCGTTCCGCAATTTGCGTTCAACGGCTAGTATCGGTTTATCGCTGTCAATGTGCGGCCGATGTTATTTTACAGAGGCTGGGTTCTGGTTGATGGAAGTTAGATGTTCATTTAAAAGAAAATATTTTACTAAGAAGTAATTAACCTGGTCATCGCCCCTTCGCGTCTAATGGTGTTGTCTAAGAATGCATTGTTGTTTTTGTCTTGATCTCTTCTTACTAGTCAATCATCGGTATTATACTACAATTCACACAAAATATATGGATAGGACGAAGATCCGTGAGCGTGACAAACGTTGTAACATTTCCTCCATTGCTGACTAGACATATATTCATTTGTGTGATCACTAGCATCAACTGATACTTGTTAATCATCGCAGGGGCGAAGAATACAGGTTAGGAATTTCTTTCATATGAATCGCGGTTGTTCAGGCGTGCGAGACATAGTTCCTTGGAGAAAAATGTGGTGGGCCGTACTTCAGGTAAAGTTTGTTATGAAATTTTAAGTGATTGATGTCAGGAAAATATGCCCATTTCGCTCTTTGTCTGGGACGGCTTTTTTCAATCTTTTTACCTTTGACATTAGTAGCTTGATAAGTGTAGAGCTGTCGGCTCAATCTCACGGCACTCGTTTTTCGTGAATCTCGGACAACAGTCGAATGTGGCGATCAGTCTTGGGTGTGTTAGATGATGATCATGCTAGTTATGTCTTTAACACTAATCTAGTACTCCTGTGTTGTGCAGGTTTTCGGAAGTTGGTGATTTAATCTACAGCAGACTGGGTCAGGAATTGGAACATTTACTTGGAGCTGTCTTGCGAGCTCATTCAGGATGGGGATATGTTTCCCGAAAGCCGCTCAACCGAAATACAAGGACGAGCCTTTAAATCCAAAACCTTCTGCGGTGGTTCCTACGTCGTCTTCCCCAATTTATTGCGAAGAAACTCCCGAGCCCCTTGCTCCGAGTACCCCTACTCATGAGCATTCATACTCGGAAGCTGAGAGTAATCTTCCAAGAGTGCAGCTGATAGGAGATATGTTGTGTCCTTTTACTCTGCGTGTACAAATTGCACTGCAATTTAAGGTCAGTCACTTCTGTTAACTTGATCTCTTCTTTCATGCCTTAGGGGCCCTAGGAAATGCGTCGTTATTGTAAATAATGAACTTAGTACTATGTGAGCATTTTGTGAATCTGATGGATTTCTTTGCCTTTCTGCTCGTAGGGTGTCATCGTGGATCCAACCTGGCTGACTCCTGTAGACCTGACCAACCCCAAGTTAGTAAATGCTAGTCCTAATGGGAAGTATCCCGTTTTGCATTATGGTCTTCATAAACTCAGTGGATCAACAGATGCTATGCTGGATTACATAGAGGAAACCTTCGAAGACCCCACCTTGATCCCTAAGCCTGTGGAAACGGAAGTAATGCAGTGGGTAGCATTCATTCGAGATGAACTTACTCCAATCGTGGGGCAGCTTTTGTACGATGGCAGTCCTCTTGTGCAGCAAGAATTAGAGTCAAAACTGGAGTCTTGTTTTATGAAGCTAGATAGTGGTATATGGGAGCATGGGAAGCAGGGTCGATTCTTTTTTGGTAATCAATTCACACTAGTAGATGTCTATCTTATTCCCATCCTTCTCTTAGTCGACGTAGCCAAGTTCTTCCGCGGTATTGAAATCTCGACCTTGCACTCTCATCTGCTGGCTTACAGTCGAGCCATGCATTCGTTTCCCAACTATGCTCCAGTGAGGGTAAATACAGAACTACTAAAAGGAGCCGTGGCAAAGACTCTTGTGGAGAGGGCACCATCACCCTTGATAGTGATGACTGTGCTACAGCATAGGAGCATTTTGTGGCACTTAGAGAGGCTTGTAGTCTTGGCTGATGGGCTGCCCGTGGACAAACTTGCCAATGAAGACTCTGGAAGACGCGGAGTGGCAGGGAAACAGATGCAGCTGCTATGGAAGATGTACGGGCGATCACTGGACTTGATGCAAGAGCATGCTCAGATGGAGGAGAGGGTCATTTTCCCTGCAATAGAGTCCACTGAGGAAGGTATAAAATGATTAGTTCTGAGATTTATGTGCCCAGATAGCGTTAGAGCATTATTCAGTTCTTGTATTGTCATACTTTCCTTCCTGTCCCCTTGAATATGTCGTACTCGGAGGTCAGATCTGAGATTATGTGTTTTGGACTCCCAGGTATGAGCGAGTGCGCGCTTGCAGATCATGCTCGGGATCTCCCGGTGATGAATGGTATCCGTGAGGACATAAAGGGTGTAATGGCTCTGGAGCAGGGTTGCTCTGACCATCTAGAGGGCTTGCAAGCTGTGGTTAAACGGCTGCACATTCTTCAAGTAAGCTCCTCTTGGATATGTGAAGCCACTTTCTCCTCCATATCGTTGATTTTGTTCTCATGTACTGAAAGCCGAGGCCCTGATATTGCATGGTCTTTCTGTATCATCAACGTATATTTGTCCTTAGTTTTAAATAGATCAAATGATTTCATTATTATGAATGTTATTCTTTCACTTAGTTTTATCATTGCCTTGGTCACTCCAGGAAAACAGCGTGGAGCACTACCATGAAGAAGAGAGGGATTTATTACCGCAGCTGAATGCAGCTGGACTTGGCAACAAGAAGCAGGAGGAGCTGGTCACACAAAGTATTGCGGTGATGGAGGAGACTCATGGGAGATTATTGCCTTTCTTCCTGCAAGGGTTGGAGCCTCATGAAATCAGTCAATACTTTGGCCTCCTCCACAGTTTATTTGATGGAGGCAAAAGCCGAGTATTCACAAGAATGTCTTTCTGTTTGAAGAATGCTGACGAAGAATTCAAAGAAGTGTGCAGAGTGGCTCAAGCAAAGATGACGGAGCTTGCAAACCCCTCCAACGAAAAGACTGTCGGATTGTAGTGCCATCTTAAGGAATGAGCTTCTGATCACTTTGTTGTACTATGTAAAGTTGGGTTCTTCAAGGTTTTGATGGATATCAATCAACTGTACGATCTGAAAAACACGGGCTCCTCCTACCTCGGCACAATTTTGATTTTCAGCTGGGTGGCGATCAGCGGTTATAGGCTGTTCTTGTCTTCCTCGCCCCCAATCGGGTGCTCTGTCTCTACTCCTCTTCTATTTACTGTGGAGTGGTCTATAAGGGATTTTGATCGGAAACCTCTTCGTCACCTGTAGTGTACTATTAGGTCCAGGTAAAGGTAGTCTTGAACTCATCAGTGGTAAAATAGTAGGTGGCTCTTACATGGGTCAATATCTAGTGTAATTGCCCGGTTTCTTGGCAACGTTGTTGGTAAAGGATTCTTGTGATATCTGTTAAATGTCAACAAGTGTTGGTGGGATGCTGAGTTAACCGTTACATTCATTTATTAAGGAGTCCCTTGCCTTTCATTTAGGCACTGTAGAGCACTGGGATTCTATCTTCAGTTTATGATAATGTCAAGATTTGAGCCGTAAGCTTATTATCGAAGGTCTCTTGTCAAGATATTAGCTCTTGAAGGGATTCAGTTTTTGCTCAGCACACGTGAAGTGTGGGCATCCTGTGCTCATGCTTTTTCAGCTATGAAAAGAAAATCGTTTTATTTTGGTGCTCAATTACGCAGTTGCCCAAACCAGTCTTTGGGGACTATGCATGGCCTGGTTGGCGTGTTGGTTGTTGAGAGCTCTTTATCTTCAAGGTATAAAGTTGACCATCAAGAATTGGATACATGTTGTTGTCTATCTGGTTCCTACCTCCCTAGACTAGGTATGGTTGATTCCGGAGCCAAGCCATTCTGTTGCTTCTGTGGCTTGTGAATTGAGTGTACTCTGAAATGCAAGTATACAGTTATGATTTTAGTGGGGGAGGTACTTAACAGAGTTCGATATATTCTCTCAAAGACTGGTACCGCCCGCTGGCTTTTGAGGACACTGCTTGTAACAAATTGTAAGAAGGCGGATTTTTATCGGCGGATACTTCTGGCCCTGTGCTGCAGTTAGCTGGTAAATGTCATTCTTCAAGTTTGGTCACAGCATCAGTTGGTTTCAGAATGGGTCTTCAAAGTTGGGTGTCCTTGTGGAACCAAGGCAAGTGGGGTCCATGTAATCCTCCTCATTAGTATGATATGAACCAGAATCTAACATTTTCCAGACAAAAAACGGATGGATGATGAGCGCCGTTTTTTTGTTTTTTCTGCGTTTTTTATTCATTGAGACTTACTGGAAGGGGTCACGCTGAAATTGTAGATGATGGAGATGTTCTTGTCTGGCTTGATCCACTCATTTACCATGACCCTCGCCTTCACTCCATGCTTGTGGCGAAAGAAACAGCTCATCAGATCCTTGATGACGCCATTTTCTCGTCCTGTCACATCTCTTGCTGCCCATACCCATGCATTCATTGTCGTGGCAAGCTGAAGTTCATCCATCTCATAGTTCTGCAAATAGATTTTTCATTTACGCCTCTTCTGGCCAATGAGGATTCAGACCTACCTTCATGTATATACATATCTATATATATGTATATATGTACACAGACAGACACAACCATTATCCTCATTGGACAAAACTCTGCACTCTGACATCCAATTTTTAACGACCCATATAACAAGTGTTATGTTATGAATGATGTTTTTATGCCGGTGAAATGGTGATCGGTAATGGAAATGCAGTCAACTTTGCAATTTCCAACATCGCTGTCATTGGTCTGGTTGACTTTGTCTGCTATTGAAACTGGTTTATTTGAAAATGCTCGCCTCTAGTTTTGAAAAGCCTGACTTTGTCTAGGAGTGGCAATTGATCCGTTGCTAGAAGATAGGGCATTCCAAAATTTATTGGGTAGTATTATTGTACTTGGCAGCTAAAGATGTTTGCTAACTGTCTCCGTCATTCTTATCCTTACACCCGCTGTTTGTTTCCGGATTGAGATGGTCATTGTCAAGGCTTTTTTAGTTCTCTAATTCACAGTACACTGCTTAGTTTTTGGTTCAACTGGCTCTTACGTTTCACTGCCAATTAACCCTCGCTCCCTAAAGCGATCTTCCATATGCTCCTCTCCTTTTCATGTTTTTGTAGTTTGACTAGGAGGATATTTGCATAAGTAAAGGATGAGTGAAGAATTGTAGCGTGATGTGAATGGTGCTTCTGAGGGTTGTCAGAAGTTTCTGAGTGAGGACATGAAATCGTGTAGAAAGAAAGGGGTAGTAGCAGGAGGGAGGGGACTTGGCTGAAGGGAATTTTAATGCGACAAGGTCAAGGAGAAGTGGAGAATTATATAGTTCTCGCAACGACACTGGAGTTGAATTTCCATTGATACATCATACTTAAAAGTAAGAAGACCCTGCTGCCGAACTTGTATGTTTGCTGAACTGTGTGTGTATTTGACTCATCTCTTTCTTTTGTTGTAGTAATTGTAGAAGCAAGGGTCTTCAATCAGTGATATCTCTGTTAATTATGCTGTCGATATTCCGCCCTCGACGTGACGAACCTCTTTGGTTAGCTCATTTCTCAGCATTGCGTGGCTTTGTGCACACTAAATTTTTATATGGCTACTTCCTTTTCATGACTCCTGAGCTGAGTACAATTCTGCCATCCTCTGCCAACGGCATCACAAGGGTGTTTCTAATCACTAGAATTTGCTGGATGAATGAAACTGATCTATATCAGCTGAGTGAGAGCTCTGCTAGAGCCTCTGCGGATTGCAACCCGAAAATATTGTGATAATATTGCCAGTCATGCTATCTCTTCTCCGATGCAGATCAAAAGCTACTGATCAGAATCTACTGATCAAGGAGCATACCTTAGCTGAGAATCAAACCAAACCTCATTTAGATCCACCTAGCAGGCTCACTCAACATGGGTATATGTTGTCCAAAGTTGGCACCGTCGAGACACGGCGATGACACCCTCAGTTCAAAGCCATCCACAGTTGTGCCAACATCGTCCTGTCCAACTCTCCGTGAAACTACACATAATATGACGACGTATGCAGAGGCCAAGAGAATTCCTAGAGTACAGCTGATTGGAGACAAATTTTGTCCCTTCACACTACGGGTGCTGATTGCGTTGCAATTTAAGGTGAAGTACGTCTGTCTTAGCAAATTGTTTAACTCTTAAGTTATGGCTACGAGGGAACACATGAACCTAGCTCTTGCTTCTCACCTGTGTGGGAACATACGTCCAATTTTCGTGCTGATCTCTACGTCCACCTCTATTTCATTCAATCTATCGTTGATGGTTGTATTCCATAGCCTAAGAGCCATGAGAATGTCACTCTTCCACTTGCTAACGTTAACATGTGTTCATTACAGGGTATTCATGTGGATGCAGCCTGGCTGACACCGGAGGATTTGAGGAATCCGAATAGGATAATCACCGCAAGTCCAAATGGAAAATACCCTGTGTTACAGAACGGACTTCACAGACTCATCAGCTCAACGAGCGCCATGCTGGATTACATTGAGGAAACGTTCCAATATCCTACGTTGATTCCCAGCCATATAAAGGGAGAGGTCATAAAATGGGCATCCTTCATTCGAGATGAGTTTACTCCTACGCTAGCACAGTTAATTCATGATGGAAATCCCGTAGTGCAGCAGAGGATGACACAGGACCTAAAGTCTGCCTTCGCCGAACTCAACAACGGTAAACGGCAACATGGAAAACAGGGTCGATTCTTTTCTGGGAGTCAGTTCACCCTTGTGGATGTCTACCTGATTCCTACTCTTCTTCAGGTTGACGTCGCAAAATTCTTTCGTGGCGTTTCCATCGACACAGTTAATTCCCATCTACTTAGTTACAGTCGCGCCATGCATTCGTTTCCCAACTATGCTCCTGTGAGAGTGGATATGGACTTACTTAAAGAGGCTGTGGCCAAATTGTTGTTCGAGAGAGATTCATTACCTTTTGTAGTGATGACTATGCTGCAACATCGAAGCATTTTGCGGCACATGAAGAAGCTTGTAGTTCTAGCTGATGAGCTCCTTGTAAATAAACTTGCGTCAGAAGTTGGGCAGTTCGGAACGCTAGGGGCAGTTCCAGGGAAACATGTGCATTTACTATGGAAGATGGATGGACGTTTAGTGGACTTGATGCAAGAGCATGCACAAATGGAAGAAAGGGTCTTATTTCCTGCAATAGACTCCAGAGGCCAAGGTATTTTTTTGACTAGAAACTGCATTTCAGTTAGTGAATAAATTTGTGGAGTTTCTAGTCTGAAAATATTGCTAAAAATATTTCAACCTGTACTTACCAAGTAGGTTGACATATACTGCGAATTGGATACTCCAGGAATGACCGGAACAGCTCTCACAGACCATGCCCGAGATCTTCCAGTGATGAATGGTATACGTGAGGATATTAAGGGAGTAATGGCTTTGGAGCGAGATTGCGCTGACTACCTCGAAGGGTTGCAAGCTCTTTCAACTCGACTGCGTGCTTTCCAGGTGATTGTTTCAAGTTAATTTCCTTTTTCATCACTATTGACGTTTAATCTTACTTGTGGAACTGTTATCTCCGTCCTTGCATGGGTGGTGCACAGCGCTCACACCAAGCTCTTACTTTCTCAGGAGAATACAGTGGATCATTACCATGAAGAAGAAAGGGATCTGTTACCCAAGCTGAATGTAATCGATCTAGCGACAAAGAAGCAAGACGAGCTGATGGTCCAGTGTTTTGGAATTATGGAGGATTCCCATGGGAGGCTATTACCGTTCCTTCTGCAAGGGATGGAGCCTCATGAAGTAATCCAATATCTTGAACTCCTCAAGAAATCATTTGAGGGAGGAAAGAGCCGACTTTTCACTGGTATCTTATTCTGCTTAGAGAATGCAGATGAAGAATTTAAAGATGTGTGCAAGACGGCGCAAGAAAGGATAATTGAAATGATGGCTCTTGAAAATGCCAAGACTGCTGGGTCATGACAAAAAAGTTGTTACTCTTGCGAACAAGAGTAACATGTCCTTTGCTCCAGCCACCTCTGTTGGGTTTTGTGATAGTGAAGAGTATTGTATAACCTTCTATGATCATATGTTTATACGTAGGCTAAGACAGGCATGTTCATGGTCTGCTCTGCGTGAATGTACATTTAAGTGTAGATAACCCCATCGATGTGTGGTTGCGATTGAAAAGTTCTAAAATCTGAAATACCTACCATATGCTCGAAGGTGGATGGTTCAGTATTGTGAACCACAACTATACAAGGCTTCTTATTCACAGTAAAAGGCCAGGTTCAGTATTTATATCCACATATCCGCCATTTACATGACTAACCTATCAATCTGCGGATGAAATTGAGAATTTGTCACATTAAATTTAGATTTCCAATGTAACGTACTTAGTCTGTACTTTATTGTTGCCGTCGCAACGAGCGTAGTATGTGTCGTGTCGGTGATTGTAAACATGTATATAAATACTTGCGTTTTTTTAATAACGTGAAGACATTTCCAAATTTGCACATTATGAAGGCTTTTCTCACCAACCTCATGGACGACTGTTGGATTAACATATCAATGTAGGACGCGTTCGGACTGTTTTCTTCTTTGCGGTGAGGGATAGCCGATTTAGATGTCCACTCTAACCAGGATAATACTTTTCTACCGGATATTACGAACGTGAATTTGTTGAGGCAGTACAATGCGTCTGAAGAGAGCACTTTGTTGACCTCAAAATTGCATCACGTACTATTTTCAATAGCTACAAATTAAATATCCAAATGGGGTTTGCTTCATCCATGTATGAACCTAGTCTGGAGATACAAACACAACAATCCTTTCGTAAGGGGTCTTTTCATCAGGTCCATCTGTAGTTAAAAACTAGAGAAACTAGTTTCCCATTGGTACACAGGCATACTAAATTCAAAGGTGGGACATGTCAGCAATCCATTCTGAAGGGAATACTGTGTGAAATCTAATAGTGCTTGGTAGAATTAATAAGTAATCTGGAAATTATAAATTACATGGCAGATTCGACTCGACAGAATCAGTCCTGCAACTGACCAAAAGTTCCATTCTATTCTGCTCGAATAAGACATGAGTCTGGAGGACTTTATCCAGAAAAAACCATGTAATATAATATCTCAGGTTCAGCCCGACACCTCATATCCTCCAAATTAGAGAAATCACATCACAACTGATCGCAGAATACCACGAAGGGAAATTGTCGTCAGAAAGAAGCGGTCTACTTCGTAACTAAACATGGTAATCACCAGAGGTTTTCCGTACTAGAGTTTTTACTCGTACAATCCTAATCAAATCATACGAACGCTAGAATAAAACGTCTTGAACAGACCATACGTGGAATGCAGTATCACAATGAGGGTGGAGATCCTAGTCATGAATGCTGGGTCTCAACTCTCTGCAATTTAGAACGGAAGAGCAATAGCGCGCTTCATTGCGTACAGACTCCTCTGCAGGATTTCATTCACCACGTCCAACACGTCAAAAAATTGAGTATGCAAGTTTAGATGTGGCCTTACAAACCAATGTGAAATCTAACGAGATCCAGAGTGAACAAACTGTGAAGATGCAATATCAGCAGTGCCCACATAAATACGGGGTCATGAACCTAGCAAATCAAACCAAATTTGAGTATTCCACTCACTTTTTGCAGCTGTATCCAGTTGGGCATGTATTGTAGCATTCGCCACAGTTGTTCACGTCATTGTAAATGTCAACACGGCACTCCTCCCAGGGCCGATTGCAATTGCTCCACCCCTCATCGCAGATGAAATAACAGCCTAGACTGTTGACGCAGATAGGGCTGGAATGTGGCCTTGCGGCACAAACACTTCCACAACCGTTACAATTGTTTAAATCGCTGTATGTATTGGTCTCGCAGCCGTCTGTAATGTTGCCATTGCAATCAGTCATCCCTCTGTAGCATTGGATCAACTGACACTTTCCAGCGGTGCATCCGTAGACGCCAAAGGGGTATTGGTTGAAGGCACACTTAGAGCCACACTTGCCACAGTTATCCCCGTCCGACCCCATTACGAAGGTCTCGCACCCATCTTTGACCATGTCGTTGTTGCAGTCGCTATACCCAGGCATGCACTTGCTTGTGCACCGCCCTTCCCTGCACTGACTGACGGCATTCTTAAATTGGGGGCATACCTTACCACAACGGCCACAGTTCTTAACGTCTGTCCTTATCGCCACCTCGCATCCGTTGTCCTTACGCTTGTCGCAATCTTTGAAGTATTGCTTGCAGCGATATCCACACACTCCATTGGAGCACACTGGAGTGGCATTGGACGGGCTGTGGCACTTGACACCGCAGTTACCGCAGTTCTTGACATCACTCTTCACGGCAGACTTGCAGCCGCGACTATATCCACAGTCCTTGTAACCGGAAGGACAGCCGGCGTCCACGTTACCTGGAGCAGAACAATCCACGATCAATGTCGATTAGAACCAAACATCTGCGATTCAAGGAGCATGAATAAATCTTATGGGGCAGGTCTTAGAGACATACGGGTGCATACGGAGCAGATTACTAGGAAGGCGAGCACAACGAATGCAGAGTGGGAGACTGCCATGCTTGACCTCCTCCAGCCCAACTAGATATACAGAGCAGGAATGGATGACACTCAAGCAGCAATCGGCACACATCAGTACACATTCAACTTCGACTGATTGATTGTGAACGCCTAAAACAAACAGCCACCCATGACTATGCTCGGCTTCGAGTTTCTTGCATCTTGTACAGCTCAACGTTGTTGGCTAATGCGCCTATTTCGGAGTCGGCCACGATTCGCTGCGAAACAAAAGCAGCGAGCTTGTCGAGTTGGACATCTAGTCAGCCTGGTGGAACGAACGATACTGAAAAGCACGGTAAAACCAAATATCAGCTTGACATCGCCTAGATCAGCTTGGCGGATGGTGACACGATCAACAGCAGAACCATATATCTAAACTGAGGAGCTTAACGTGACCATTCACCGCCCCAACGACTGAGAACTCCCGCCAGTCAGTGTGGGCCGGTGAATAACAACAACGTCACCATAGCCAATCAGGCCAAAAAGAACTTATAAACTTCAAACTCAGGACTTGCATGGCTGTCACGGTGGAACATGGATCCGCACCACCGAAGTCATCGAACCACAACTTCATTCCGCTGACTGGCAAAAACAAGAACAACCCATCCATGTCCACGAAGTCAACCCTAACAAAAAGGGCATCATCGACGTTGGTCCCTCGTGTCCGCTGACTTGCGGTCCATCCCATGGATGAGAGCCAGTTCCATAAAAAACTGCATCCTTGCTAAGAAAGCATTGACATGGAAGGCAGGGCCAGCAAGACTCTAGGAATAGGATTGACCCAACTCGGAGGAGAGGCACATTAAGGTTCGGCGTGGGTGGGATTTGTTTGTTGGTTGGTTGGTTTGACTTAGAACGGTGCTACGAAGTGGGTCCGGGGCCTTAGAGCGGTGCCGGAGCTTATCACGGCGTTGACATTCGGGGACTCGGTGCTGTATTGTGTACTCCGGAGTCCACCGGAATCCAGCTGTTGTTGTCTACTTCGTCGCTCCCTCGAATCACCTTCGATTGATTTGCTATTTTTGTGCTTTTTTGACACGCATGGGGAGAAACTTCCTCCGCACAAAAAATAATGGTTGGAAGAAACGATGCATCTTATCTAGTTAGTGCCTTTGTGTTCTCGCCGTGGAGCAAGCACAAAATATGATTATACAATATATAATTAAATTATTATGTGGGTTCGTAGATACCACTATTTGATGTAACTTTTATCATCTTCTTTCTCATTATTGTATTGCTGGCCATTCACGAATATTCTTTTAATATAACTTCATGCTTTGTTTGTTTGTTTTTTCTTCCCATAGAGCTTTTTATATTTATTAAAATTTGTTCAAATAAGTTGTTTAGCATCCTTGTCATTTCATTTTATTTTTTATTTTTTAAATTCTTTATTGTCTGTAGACCTATGCTTTCTAGAAATGACCATGGAATTTTTAACCTCATAAATCTTGGCAGAAAGTTTTTAGAAACAAAACTTTTTTTAAAAAAAAATAAGATTTTTTTTATAGTTTATAGTTTTTTAGATTTTTTTTTATAAATTATTTTAAAAAATTTATGACCAAAAGTCATATCTTTAATATATTTTGTGTGTTTTTACAATATTAATAGTTCTAATTTAATGATCGAATTTATTTATGGTTAAAAAATAATACTTTTTTAAATTAAAGTTGCATGTTTTTCTTTTTCTTTTTTCTTGTGTGGATGTGAGTCTAAAATTAAACTTCTATACAAAGTGTTTCTTCTTCACAATAATAATTACTTGTTGCAAATTGCAACAAGTAATAAGTTAGATTACAAATGCAAAACCAAATGGGCTTAATATTTGTATCTTAAATCAAGTGTCTCTAAAATCTAGTCACCACAATCTGATTTTAGAATTTCATCCACAAAATAAATAAATAAATTTAGAATTATCAAAATAAAATAAAATAAACTACTTTGCTAAAAATAGAGTAACAGAATCAAAATTTAAAATATTTATAACATTCAAAATCAGGTTATTTTTATTAAATCTTTAAAATTTTGAATAGATTTATAATATCTTCACAAACACATAATATCACTTACATACTATTTATACTATTTATTCACTCGTAAGTGTTGCTTTTTTATTTTCATAAACATAAACATATCTAAGTAGTTTCAGGCATATTAAAATTGGAATCTGTAATTTGGTTTTTAAAAGTAATTTGAAACAGATGTTGGATTTGTTTTTTTTAAAAAATATTATATTTAAATTATGATTTATATTTTAGATTTCCTCTTTTTACTATCATTTTAATAATCTATAAATAGAAAACTATTAATATTCTTATTTAAGAAAATAATGATTTCATTTTTTATAATATGTTAAATGTATATTCACAAATTAAAATTTTTGGTGCTAAGATTTATAATATATATAAATATATATATATATATATATATATATATATATATATATTTATATATATATGGTTGGTGCTAATATCTATAAGTTGATTGTCATTAAGAATCTTCCTCTTTTAAATATGTTTTCCAATGATATTTTAAAGTTAAAACTTTGTTACATGGATTAATCTTTTATTCTTTAAAAAATTATATAAAATACATTAACTTTTACATGCTAGTTTTTATTATGTAGGAAATTTATTTTAAAAACATATATATTAAAGATTCAAATTTTAAAACCATAAATTGATTCACACATAACAATGTTTTTTTTGTAAATATAACATATTGCGAAAGACTCATTAGTTATTACAATTAGCTTCCTTTATATGAAAATATATGACACACTTATGGAATAATTTAAAATCACATTCTATTATTAGACTATCATATAAATATATTTATAATAAGATAAAAAGAATGTATAATTTATATATATTATAATCTTTAAAATTATAGTTTAAAAAATATAGTATAATTCAAATTCTTCAAATAATATTTTTTTAGTTCAATATATAATATTTTAGAGCTAATCTATTAAAATTATAAATCAAAATCAATATTATTTTTTAAAATTAATAAGATAAAAAAATTCAAATAAAATGTACCTTAAATTTTTGTATTTAAGCAATTTATTATTTTAAATAAATCTTTTATTATGGTTTATATTTTAAATATATATACATAAAAATTAATCTTAATAAATAACACCTTTTTATGTAAAAACATAACCATGCTTTGATTTTAGACCTTTAAAGCTATAAATGCTTGTTGATTAGTGACGTGTATTAAAAAATTTAAGAAGACCTCTAGCATGGTAAGAAACAATTCTTTTTATTCTTTAAATATTTTATAGTAATTTCTATGTTACACTAGTAATCTAAGTAATTTTTTAGACTTAAAAATGGACATGTGGAATAGGTTGTTTATATTAAAAAAAAAAAGAAACAATTATCACGCAATCAATAAAATTCATAAAGTAACAATGAAATTACTAGGTATACACCTTCTTTTTATTGCATGGACTAATAGCTTTTACATACAACAAAGCCTTTGTTGGTAGCTTAACTAGTAAGAGTCTATTTTACCTTACAATCTAAAATTCTATTAATTTACTTTGTTTTTACATACAACACTTTTCAAAAGCTATTTTTATAATTTTTTAATAAATGAGAGATCTAGCCAAATCAAAATGAACAATTATAATTATACTTCTAATTTTTACTTTAAGTAATCCATATTCTTGTAACATATAATAAGAAATATTAATAAAATAAAAATATATTATAGAACTATTAAACTATGTAAATAATGTTTTTAAAATTTTTCTTGTGAGTGGCTAAAGTTACCTATTTTTAAATGTTTTGAATAAATATTTTACAAAATTAATTTCATAATATGTTCTATTATTGAAATTTTAAAGACCTTTCATACAAAGTCTTTAAAAGAGTTTTTGGAAAATCAAACTGATTTTTTTTAAAAATAACTAAATAAAAATAATCTCCCAAAGTGATTGATGAATTTATTCTCTCTAAAATTTAAAATCTTATTCTTGGAGATTTTTTTTAAAGCAGAAGTTAATAACTCTAATAATCAGCTATTTTTATTTTTTATTTTCTAAAGATGAAAAGATATAAATACAAAATCCCATAATTACAACAACTATTATGGGTTATTTTAAAATATTTAAATCATAAAATGAACACATATTTTAAGAAATTACTGACTTTCAAATATTATTTTTCAAAGAATAACACAAATTCACTGATCGTAAAACATGCTTATAAATTATAAGAATGTAAGGATATCATATGACAGGATTTTAAGGTTCATTTATTGTAAACAAAAATTCCTACCTATGAAATATAGATTCATAAAATATAGTAAACAATATTCATGGAGAACATGTTAAAAATATAATTTAAGTATATATCATTTAATAAAAAATTAATATTATAGTTAAACTTATTACTTTTATTGTAAATAAAAATAAAATTAATTTTGTTAAATTTGGAGACAAAGATACTAAGTTTTGGATTATAGCAGATAAATTATCAATTAAGAAAAAAATAAGCAAAAAAACTTCTACTAATATTTTAAAAAAGAATCAATGTATTATTTCTTTTGAATATATATACAGATTTTTTTTTCTTCTTAAAATTATTAAAATATCTTGACTATTTAGATTGTATTTTTTTATAAATAAATTGTTAAATTCGGTTGAATGTATTCATTTTAAATTTTACAAAAAGTATCTTCCATGAAATTAATATATATATATATATATATATATATATATATAAAATCTCATCAAATATTTTAATTCACATCATTATAAATATCATTGACAAAATATTCAAAAATATTTCCAATTAATTTTAATATTTAATGCTATAAATAAAAAAAATGCCATTTTTGTGTAATCATACTAAAGTATTCAAGATGAGATTTTTTTTACCACTGTATTTAAGATTTTGTTGCAAAAATGACTTAATATACAGCCTTTTAATTTTATTTATGTAGAATGAAAATGTATGTGTAGATTTTCATAAAATGTTATACATTTTAATAAAATTAGCATATAAGTGTTTTAGTATAAAATTTTATTGGGATTAAAAATTCAAATTTATTTAACTTAGCAACATTTTAGAAATCACTTATTTAAAATCTCTCATTTTTACATTAATTTTTTTAATTTTTTAACTTAATATTTTAATTTTTAATACTATATTTTTTTAAGGATTTTTTTTGAAATTTTTATCTTCATATTTTTTTATTATTAATACCATTTTTTTCAATAATATTACAATTGATGTTGTGGTGCAAGATCCGTGCAGATTAAAATTTAACAGTGTAAATACTGCAATTTTAAAAATATCAAAATAATTTTCTACTTAAAATAAACAAGCAATGATAAAACTTATTTCTTGGAATTTAATTTTAATCACGATTATGATATTATAAAAAAAATGAAATATTAAAAATTTACAAATGATTTCTCAATTATTTTTAGCTTCTGTTAATCTGAAAATTCTGATGAAAAACAAATTACACATTATCAATTAGTCTTTAAAAGTTTTATTATATGATTAAAAAACATTAGATGTACAGTTATTTTCTTTTTCAGCCAAATACTATGCACCCAATAATAATAGTTAAGCATGAAATATTATTATAAAGTTTAGCTTAATAATCAATTTTCAGAAAATTTTGTGCCATGAAGCACGTTTTAATTGTGTCTCTAAGTATCATAATATTTTATGAATTAAAAATATGGATTTTTTAAATGCATATGATGTTGTTGAAGATGAATCAATCTGATTTAAGTTAAATATCATATTTAAATATCTCAAACATTTATGCAGATCTAATATGATTTCTTTGTAAATGAATTTTATCTTGAAATACAGAATCACTTAATTTTTAACTCCATTAAAGACCTAATTTCCAATGTAGTTAATACGAAATTTATTTATGTCCTAAAACTCACAAAGTTTTTGAATATGTTCAAAAAGAATAAAACATAAGACTCTAATGCTTCTTCAAATGAAAATAAAAATTCATTCCAGTCCTGCAATATGGTTTTTGTCTTCAACAAGAAAAAGGAAACAAAAATAACACAAATTGTGATACACACACAAACCAAACAGATGGTATAGAAATTTGCAAACAGGAGATTATTAATCAAGCCTTTCAATTGATCCGTGTGTAAAGATTACTGAATGTTTAATGTGTTGGAAGAAATGGATACCGGAAGAATTCACTCTTTGAAAATCTTGTAAGTATTGTATACCAGATTTTCCTATTTATACTACGTTTCATAAGTCAGATATAATGCAGTTGATGTAATCTAATATGAAACATGAAAAATGCAGAATTCAATAATTTTATAAACAATGTTACAATTACAACTGAATACGCAAATTTGACTCCTTTCATTTCCGTGTCTTGTGCATTTGCATGTGTGAGTTTGTATGTGTGTATATATATTCTTCAGCAAAAACTAATAAAGCAAGGGAACCATTTATTAGTTTATTCCTTGTGATGCTCAAAAGTGTTGACTGTAGTTTTTTGAAATTTTCATTCTCATAGAATGCATTTCCGAAAAATCAAAACTCCTCATCTGATATTATTGTGTAATTTTGAAACATGGCTTCTATCAAAGATTGTTTTCTCTCCACTTCAGTTCATTCCATCTGTGATTTTTAATACACAACTATGAACTATTCATACCTTTCAGTCTTTACAGTATAAAATATTTCCTGAATATATATATATATATATATATATATCCAAGTTATGACCTTTTCAAGGTTATATACTTAATACAATTGGAGTATTTTTGAAGTTCTTAGAAACTTATTGGTCTTGCTCACAAATACATGTACATAATCAATAATCTTTTATACAGGGAGTAGAAAAAAGTAGAAAAAAGGAAAGCGTATGCGATGATACAAAGAAACCTATAAACAGAAAATGAATCCACAACATCCAAGCTTGATGATGCCTCCAGGAAGTCTTCCAAGACCCCCGGGAAGACCCCAACCAAGGCCAATGATGTCCCCTGGAATGGGACCCGGTATGAGACCTTTCATGGGACCTGGATCGATGGCAGGACCGCCGTCGATGGTGCCAGGTGGGGGTGCGATGAGACCTCACACGATGCCGCTAATGCGACCTCAAATGGGTCCGCCCGGGTTGTGGCCCGGGTTGATGACCGGGGCGCCACCGGGATGGCCAGCCAGGCCTCCAGTTGAGTCCTTCCCCTTTCACACCCACACCTCCATTGAGATTATTTCTTTTCGTTTATACGTATATTAGTTATTTTCTTTACACGTATATAAAAAAAAAATACCATTTCATCATCGTCCAACAAGTATATTTTTAAACATTGCAATAAAAATTAACTGAAATAAAAATAAAAACTAAAGAAATATGTCAAGAGTGGATGGCAAGTTGTGGCGGCAATAGCAAAAACTACAATGACAACAACAAAAATTGGGTGTGGCATTGGGAATTCCCTCTATCTATCTATGTATATATAACACATGCTTTTGATCTAAAATATACATAATTTTCTTAAATAAATGTATATAAATTTTATGGCTTTATTGTAATAGGCTTTTGGTGGTCCTCAAATGCCCCCAAGACCCTCTTTAAACATGAATCTACCAATGGGGAAGATAGGTCCTCAACAATTTGGAAGCATGGTAAATGTTTATTAGTGTGTAAATATATATTATAATTTCAAAACTTTAAATCTCTTGCACGTTTAAAAAAAAATAGACATGGTATTTCAGATTTGTTTTGTTTGTTTATTTTAATATGTTAAAAATAGGGTTCTTTTTACTTTTTCTTCCAAATGCTTCATTTCATTTTTTTTTTACATACTTAAAGTATGCTTCCAAAATTACATGAATAAATGGGATTTTAGATGCCACCCAGAGGAGGATTGGAGCCATTGGCTGCATTTGACACAATGGACTCACAAATAAAGTTAAATTATACCCAATTGTTTTCATTTCATGTTTCTTTTAACAACTTGAACCCATCCGGACAACCTCAAAGTGCAAAATGGTTCAACATTGGAAAAAAAGTAAATTTCACCGTTTTTTTTAGGTTGTTTTTACGTATTGTATTAAAATAAATTATCAATATTGGAAATGCTTGCAACACATTCTCAGCTTTTTTTAATAATAAAAATATTATTTCACTTTTATTTGACTGATATCAAATAAAAGGTTTGGATCACATGCATGCATCATAAGCACAACAAATAGGCGTGATTATAATATCGATAAAGTAAAATAAATACAAATGTTCTTATTTTTAAATTTATGCAAGAAAAGAGTAGCATTCAATTGATTATTATCTTATGCTTTCAATGTAAGAATTAGTTTAAGTAGTTTAAATGTAGTAATTTATTCATTAAAAAGATCGTTTAAAATCATCCATGATTGCATGATAAAATTGAAGTATGTACCACAAAAATTATTGCATTAATTGAACAATACATAAACAAAAAAACTCTACAGGCTGGAGAATGGACCACGTGTATATTTGAAGTGGATTTTTATAGTCATGCTTTTCGATTACAGTATAGTAACCGCTTATTAAATGTATCCACTAGAACCCAATTATTTTTAATTGACCAATTAATCTCAGTCTTTTAAAGCGAAAGTACTGTTTTTCTTTGTTATTTCTTTGATAATATTTTTAGGATTAAGCTAATTTGATATCAACTTCCATTTTTGTGAGCAGCTGTTTGAATTTTTTATTTGATTAAAAATAATGATATTAATCCTCACATGATTTTGTAACAAAATTTAAAATTCCTTAAAAATAATCCGATTTAAAGTCCAATACAATTATGTATATTACTACACTATATATATATATATATATATATATATATTTGTTAACACTAAAGGAATAAATGATTTTAATGCAGTCAAAGCCATTTTTCATGTGGCAAAACCGCAATAATGCACATCAATCTGAGGACATGCTCAGATCACAATTGTTTGTTTTGTGGTTCAGGTCACATTTTGTACAGTTCCAATTGATTAAACCATGATAAATAAATAAATGATTGTGCATACATGTATGTATATATACATATATACAAATACACACACAGAGAATGATAATCATTCATGTATTGATGTATTTATGTGTGACACATACATGTATATACATCCATATATACATCCATATATATATATATATATATATATATTTCCATCCAAGCACTTATAGCAATTTGATTTTTTTGCAGTACAGAGCAATGGCAATTGGTTACACAAAATCAAGAAGAAAAGCGATGCCTTGCTCATGTTTTGGAGGTATGTATATATGTATATATATATACATATATATATATATATATATATATATGAAATTAAAAAATGTTTAGTAGAATGATTAAAGGAAAAGTACATAATCAGTTATGTTCTAATTAGAGTATGAATGTGATCTAATTATACTGATTAAATTTTGGCATTCACTAGTGGAGAGCAAAGAATATTAGTCTTAAACTAAATATATTTAAAATCATTGAGTTTTTTTAATTAACAATTGTTTTTGTTAATATGTGGGGTGTAGTGTGTTGGAGATAATATGAAACCAGAAGATTGCATCAATTCATCCAATCCAACAGTTGTTGGAATGGTTTGAAAATCATCACATGTGCCTTCATATCTATGTCTATATATAGATACACACATATACAATTTTATTATCTTTATTTATAAAATTCTAATAAATGCAATAATTTTTATTGGTTTATGATGAAATAGGATCCAAATGTGCTTAAATGTGGATTATTAATAAGAAGAAAAACTAACAAAATGGTCAAGAATGAAAAATGTTTTATAGTTGTCATTGTGGGAAAATTGTATTTATTTCATGTAAGCTCCAAAACTTTTTAAGAGTGTCAATTTGTTTCATCAATTAAGTAGGTGGGTAGAAGGATATATATTGTGTACACATGAGATATTCATAATGTGTTGCTTGATTTTGGGATGCATTCACAAAATTTTCTTTGTTTTAACATAAGTTCACCAACAAAAAATTGAAAATAATTTAAATTAAGAATAATCATTTCTTTAAAAATGGATCTATTTTATTTTTTTCTTACCATAGAGCCAACAAATACAAGGACAACATGTGCATCTAGTCACAAGTCTGCTTCAAGCAAATATACGCGTAAGACAACAAATATAATTATATTTTAAAAACTCTCTTGTTATTCTTGTGAAAATAATAGTTATGATTATATAACTAATTTTTTATGATATATAATACTTTCAAATCATATGCATTTTTTTGAATATATATCTATTTATTTATTTATTTTTAAATTGAAAATTTGGGTAAGAAAAAAAATGTGACTGAGAATAATGCTGGGTTAGATTCTTGTAGGATACAGATGGTAAAAGGGCTTGAATTTGAAATTTTATTACCGGGCATGAAAAGCATCAACTTAATAGCATCCCATGTGGTATGTATTTTTTATTTTTTATTTTATTTTTTGTTTTTTACCATCTTCTAAGATCATATCAAATCAAACTTTTGTATTGAATTATTTATATGAAGGAGTGTAGAATCCTTGTCTTGTTGAGTTTTTTTCTTTCAATTTCTTAAAAGTTAGACTATAGATTCAGTTTGGTTGGTTTAGCTTGATTATCACTATGTTGACAAGTTTTGAATAATGAAATTGAATTGGATGTTTTTAAATAAAAGAATGCCTCACAATGAGTTTTATGTGATGCATTTAATGAAAAATAGCATGACATGACGGAATGGATTGGGGCAATTGGGAGATCTATTGAAACTGCCAAAGAAAAAATTCAAGGGAAATATTTTTCAAAGGTATTTTATTTTATTTTGCTTCCACAAATTTTGATTTTGATTTTGATTTTTTTTTTCCCTCTTTTCTTTTCTTACAAAATATTTATATCAAAAGTCAAAACTTTAATTTTTTGATACTTGTTTACCATGTTAAATGCATCATGTAGTCTAAAGAAAGAAATTTTATTAAATCAATGTTTATTTTGAAAACTATGAAATGTTAAACATTTCTATGTAAAATGTATTTTATAATTCTTATCAATCAGTACTTTCAAACATACATGATTTAAAATTATTTAAACAACAACAAACATGGAATCCTGCATGGTTTGAATTGATATGTAATTTGAAGATCATTATTTTTATTTACTTGATCAGAACTAACATTGAAGTGATTAATTCTTTCCATGTGAAATTTAAAACAAATTAAGTCAAGCAACGAGGATCAAACTTCACAAACAACCCATGAAACAATTGGCCAAAACCAGAATTTAAATAAATTTCAATACCAACACCAATATCAACAATTTGATGATGATAATTATCATTCACAAGAAGATGAAAACGATGATAGAAATAATGAATATTATGATAGAAGTAAAAAGAAAGTTGGTGTTGGTTTTAATAAAAGAAATCCATTTCAAAAAGTATATTGTACATAAAATCACTACATTTCATAATATTTAACATACAATTGGAAGTACTTTGTATTTCGTATTAGTATTTGTATTATAAACATGTATTGTACATAAGTGAAATTCATTATATTATTTTCCAAAATACATGTTTATAGCTTAAAATTTTACACTCTGTAAGTTGACATGCAATACACCACTAAAAAAGTATAAAATATCTCATTTCAAAAAAAAATCATACGAATTTATTTTTAAATACTTGTGTCACATAACACTCTTTCCAAAGATTATTTTATTTTATTTATTTATTTTTTAAATCTTATGCCAAAAATTATTTCATACATATTTATATCTACATTGAATATTTTATATTAATAAATCACAGATTGAGTTGCCTCAAGAAAGCATGGTATGTGACAGAAGTGGTGGAGGAGGTATTGTTCAATTATTCATTGAAAACGGAGGTACCATTCTTTCACATTGTATTAAAAAAGTATAATTATGAGCAAAAAGATATTTCTGCAAAATAGATTTCATATATATATATATATATATATATATATTATTTGAACTATATAAATTAAAATATTCATATGAAGAAGTTGGTTTTATTTTTTTATTTTCTTATCACTTGTTTTCCTTTGGTATCAGGTTGTGGTAATAGGAACCCAAGCACATCACAAATAACAAATAGATTCCAACCTTACACACCCAAATTGCCAAAACTTACATACCCCACAACAAATAAAGTGTGTGAATCAAAATCATCTTCTTCAAGAAGAAAACCCAACTATTCATGCCATGAACTTTATCTGACACATGACAAACACAACCACATGGCTTGTTGTGAGGGTAAAAAAATGAAAAATAAAAAACATCTTGAAAGTGATAGTGATTTATGTAGTCTAAATGACTTTCACAAGAATGACCTTCAACCAATAAATGCCACAAAAGATTTATGTTGTAGTCCTTCTCCTTCTTCATTATTAAGAAGAGAATGTGAAGGATCACAACACAATACTACAAATTGTTATACATCTTGTCATGAGCATGCACCATATTCTAGAAACAATGGTGATTATTCATGTGGCACACCCGAGGTTGTATCAACAATCAACCATTTCCGAAGTAAGAATTGCTTAAGGAACTTGCGCTTGGAGCCTCGGAGATATCCTCCATCTTGGATGCCCATTAGAAACCAATTGACTTCGTCCCCACAGAAGAGTGAGCATGGCACAAGTGCCACATATGAATGCAACAATTCAAGTGATTGTGATGAAAAGTTTAGTGAGTGTGGTTGTTGTGAGATTTGTGGAGGGGGTAGCTTAAGAAGTTCACCTGATTGCTCACAAATATCTGAGGTGAGCTTTTAAAATTATATATATATATATATATCTCTCTCTCTCTCTCTCTCTCTCTATATATATATATATATATAAATGAATGCATGCATCCATGTAGTAAACTTGATAGTAATGTTTTCATTTATTTATTTTAATTTTGTGTGATTTTATTTATTTATTTTTGTACCTTTTTTCTCAATTTGTCGTGATTTTTCTTGAGGATATCTGGTTGATGGTAATCTCTTTATTTGACTGTAAAAAGATTACTGATTGGTATTCAATGTAAGCAAATGATTGGTTATGAAAAAAAACTTAGAAATATCTTTCTATTTTTTTATGCTGAAATATTCTTAAAATTTTTATTATTGTTATGTCTATTCATAAATTTATATTTATATTTTATAATTTACTGTTCATGATAACAATTATAAAAACAATTAGTTGCTACTTACAGAAAGCTCATATTTTCTTGTAAAAGCTTGTAGTTGAACACACTTTTAAAAAAAATTAATATATATAACATTATGAAATAAATTTGATTAAATTATCTTTCAAAATTATCACATTTAAAAAAAATCAATTATCCTAACCATCATACAGTAATTATTAGCTTGTCATTGTTGAAATAATACATAATTGATAATTGTTGCATACTATACCTAACTAGTGGCAGAAAAATCCAATCATTTTGTAGAAATATAAGTAAATATAAGATGATTAATGATAAAATAAAAAAATACAAGAACATTCTCTAGATTATTTTTACAAGAATAAAATAAAATGCAATATATTTTCAGACCAGCAAAGTGTAATGTGCAACGTTTTGTTGCTTTTAGAGTGGATCCATATCAAATGAATTAGATGGAATGAATACACACGAAAATGAGGATGACACCTACCATTCTTCATATTTACAGCAAGGATGGCAAGAACACAAAAATGAACGTGGTGATAGGTTACAAAGCAACTCAAAACCAAAAATTTCAAGTTAAAATATATTTATAATTTTTTTAAATATTATAATATTTAAAATACCAAATAAAATTTATACCTTTTTATTACAATATTAAAATATTAAAATAATTTACAATATCAAGTATTATTTTAGATGTTACTTTTTTTTTCATGAAAAACGTTATAAATTTTTGATAAAAAATTTCTTATTTTTTAATTGTTGCCATGAAAAAACTACATGTGAATAGATTCTATTATCATCCAGCCACCAAAAGATTTAACTTTGTTCCTCCTTCAATAAAAGAAGTTTCAACAAATTTTAATCCATCAAATGATGCTACTATGCAATAGCATTTTTAAGAGTGAATCCATAACAAATATATTAGGATCATGTAATATCAATGAATTACAAGTTCATATAAAAAAAATGATATGAGTTACTGAAGGATTCTAAAAAATAGACACTTGTTTATTTTAGCTTTTTAAGTGTATAGTTACTTAATTTTTTGGGTGTTGATTGATGTGCAAATTCATTTCACAAGAGTGCAACAGTTGAGTGAACTTTATACAGGCAGTGAAAAAATTGTGTATAAGAAGAACTCTATCTTTAAACATTAAATTCATTGTTAAATCACAAAATTAAATATGTGATGTATGCCATTAGTATGTTTTCTACCTTGAAGAAATCTTTACCATGACACTCCACTAATAAAAAATAACTGTATACTATTTCAAGATATTATGAGATGGCTTTACTATGCATACAAAACACAAAAACTAATTGTAAGAAAAAAATCACATGTGATTTAAGTATTGTAATATTAGGTCAAATTCTACTCTTGTGTTGTTGACAAAATTTGTCAAACTTATGAAATTCATTCATTCCTAATATCTAAAAGTACATTTAAAAGTACTTGTACTTACAAGATCAAAGATGACCTCTTCTTCTGTTTGCAGTACATGATTACTTAAATGATCTATTTGCAGCATGGTATCAAAGCATAAGAGCTTCTATGTAGAAAAAAAGACTTGTGCAGCTTTGCTCTAAGATCCAAGATTAATATAGTGTAGTCTTTTGGGATCCAAGTTTTATATAGTGTAGCCTTATTCCTAAAATAATTAAATTGGCAAATATCAAATACAAGAGACTTGGAGAGAAAGAAAGGTAGAAAAACTCTATGAAAGAAAGATCCTAAAGAAATTACATCACAAGACTTAATACAAGCAAAGGAGATAAAAAAAAAAGTCATTAAGAGATAAGATTTCAAATCTAAAGCTATATTTATACAAAATATCAAATTAAATCAATAAGATTAAGAGTAGAGATAGAAAATCTAGCAAGCTACGTGGACTTTCTAGCTATTGTATATTGTACATGAAGATGGACTTAATTTTGAAGAGAGAATAACTATAGAGACTATTTCAAATCAAACAAATTTTCAATGAGTTTTTTTTCATTCTATAAGAAATAATATATAACAACCTAAATAATTTAAATGAAAAAAAGGCAAGAATTTCATCTATATTTATTCTATCTATCTTCAATAAGTTGATCAAATTTCTTGCTTAAAACAAGATCTAGCAAAAGGTTGAAAAGTTCTATGGGATCTATTTAATATAAGTAATCAACATTTTTTTTTGAATCTAATCAATTAACTTTACAACATCTTTAATAAAAAAAAATTGATACAAATATTTACTTTATTGAGACAAATAATTTGCATGATAAAATTATCATATTTGAAAAAGAAATACTTGACAAAACACTAATCAACATTGTATTTAATGGATTATCTATACCTTATAAAGTGTCAATTTTAAAAATATCTTATGTAAAGAATCTATCTTTTTCAATAATAATAAAAAATATCATTAGTAAATTTTATCATTTAATAATTAAAAAATATAAATTTAAAAATTTAGAAGTATTTTTAGTACAAACAAAGACAACGACCATATGTTATAAACATACATAAATACTTAGATAAGTAGTCTAAGATAGAAGGTAAATATAGGTAGATTTGATAATATCTTATAAAGCAGCTTCTTAGAAGCTTCATAGATAAAAATTTGTTTTCATATGTGTTTTTAGGTGATTGATAGGTTGAAAACTTGGCCAAGAAGTTGGCCACATGTCATATGTATTGGCTACTTGTGGTAGAATTTTTTAATATGGTACATATATAGAAAACTTATTTTCCAACTTAAACATGTATCTTGCAAGTTGGACACATATTGGATATTCTATACAAAGTTACTACATAATTCCTAATTAGATAGTATATATGGAGGCAAGAATGAAGCTTTTTTCACTCTTATTAATGCCTTTTTTGTTCTTAGTCTTATTTTGAGAGTTTCTTGTCTTCTTATTTTTGACAGTAGCCATTCTAATCTTAATATTATTCTATACTTAAATACTTATTTATTCTTTTTTAGTGAAAACATAATATATTAGTTCTTTGGTTTTTTATAATTTATATTTTTAATAGTTTGATAAGAGTATTAATTTATTATTATTATTTTTAAAAAGTAAGTATATTATTTTATTTTATTTTTGTATTTCAAAGGTTGTGGACCATTCACCTTTAAAATATTTTTTTTTATTTTTTTACATTGATTATTTTTTTAAAAGAGTAAACTTCTGCTTTCTTTAGAAATTTCTATTTGATTTTAAAGGTTGCAGATTATTCTGATCTAATTTAATTTGTAAAATTATTAAAATTATTTGTTATACAGATAAAAGGATAAATTATAGATGCTATATATTATAGAAATAAAATTAATTTTATAACTATTACAAATCTCTACAAACTTATCAATACTCTTAAGGTAGAAATTTTATACATTACCAATTTTAACCATAGAAGTATTATTTCCATGTCTACATAAGAAGTCAACAATAAGGTTCAAAGTCTACATTAAGGAGTTGTAAAAGAAATAATTAGATCAACATCACAATTAAATCCAAGAAGTCTTCCTACTACAAGTATGAAAGGAATAAAGATTAGTATATTAAAGAAATTTGATGGAATAAGATCAAAATTTCAATGATTTCTATAATAAGTCAAGCTTTATTTAAAGTTGTATCATTTCTAATACCTTGATGGATTTATTCAAGTTGGATTTATAGATGCATTTTTAAAATAGAGATTTTTTCCATCTTCATTAAAGGTGGTAACAACCACTTGTCTTTTAAATCTTTAAAAAAATGAATTATTTTTTTTGGTACTATTCCTAACTTTAAAATATATCTTTGATCTTGAATCTATAAAATCTAGCTCTACAACCAAATTTGACCTTTTTACTTAGCTTTGTTGTAAATTTATTGTCAAGGACAAGAACTTGATAAAAAAAAAATTAACAAGTGAGACTTTTCTCAAAGAAAGATGAAAAAATAGAAAGAACTAAATATATATATTAAAAAAGAAACTAGAGTGGCTATTGCCAAAAGAAAAGAAAACTAAAGATCCTTGAAACTAGACTAAAAGCAAGAAAGGAATTGACAAGAGTGAAGAAGCCTTTACTCTTGTCTCTATATATACTATCTACGTAGGAGCTACATGGCGACATTCTATAGGACCTCCAAAAATATGTTGACTTTGCACAATACATATTTTAACTTATAAGTCAAGTTTTCTATATAGACACGACATGATTAGCTTGTTCTATAAGCTACCAACATATATGGCATGTGGTTAATTTATTGACCAAGTTTTTAATCTACCAATCAAGTATAAATACATGTGAAGTCAAAACAACACCTATGAAGCTTCTAAGAAGCTTTTCTAAAAGATAATATGAAATTAATCTATTTTTACCTACTACTACGTATTCATATCACTTAGATAATAATTATAATAAATATATGTCCGTGACATTATCCCCCCTTCTAAGGATGAGTTCTATGAGGAGCGGTGATCACATGTCAAGGAAGTCTAAAATGCGGCAAATTATATTTGCCACATACTCTGATCTTTGTTCTCTTTGAAGATGATTGATAGGGCCTTTCAACAATTGATGGTGTCCCATACCAGGGCAAGAAGAAGACCTAGCTATTTGATTGTTGTTGAGGCCTTTATAACTTCCTTTAAATAAAATATTTGGAACACTATCAAGAGTTGTTTCTACCTCTAATAAAATCACCAAACATCAAGAGTCCCTTCCAAGGTTTTGATATCAAACACGTTGTATCTCGCCATCTATTTGAGGAAGAATATGTTGTCCTTGAGGATCTTCATCTTGATTGTATCATCTTGAAGGTTGTGACAATTGTAATGTCTCGTCTGGCATGTCAACAAATGAAGGCTTTTGAGTCAAATGCAGTGGTTGTTGGGTCTCCATCTCTTTAGAGTCATAACTACAAAGAAACTTCAAACAAAGATTGAAAGTAGAATGTTATCTTGTTTAGATCTTGTTTTTTTTATAAGAAAGATTTTCATCTTGATTTTGATGGATGTCGTCGATGAAAATCCTCCACCGCCTTTGCTACATTTGTAAGATTCTTTACTAATTTCCATGTGCATTCACTAATATCATATTGACGCCAATGGACAAGATATTTTAATTTATTTTGGTGCCACCTTGAATCTAAGACTTCTTCCACTTCAGATTCTTTATTATTGTCCACTTTTGTAGGAGGAGGTCGAGCTTGTCTTTTTTTTGGTATGTCCATTTTCTTGTATGGTTCAAGAAGAGACACGTGGAATATTGGATGGATTTTCATTGACTCTGATGTTCTATTACATATTGTCTTGCTCAGGAATGCACTAGGCACTTAGCTGTGGAAAAAGAGGTTGTATTTCACAAGTATCTAAGAAATCCTAATAGATTTTATCTATACAAGAAAAATATAATCTGAATTTTAATTCAAAAGTGCTAAAAAATACTCTTCTTAGTAGCCCTAATCATACATAAATTCCAATTATCTTGTTACTTTCATATTTAAGTAATTTAGATTTTTCTTATAAGCTCCAAACCTAATCAATGAACTTTAACAAGCTGTAACATCCAATCTGACCATCCACTTGATGTAAAATTTTGCATGCAAATTTCAATGTAAATCTTCTATATGCTCAATAATTTTTATTTCAATCCAAATTACAAATTGTGAGAAAACCTCCAAAAATCGCACTGATATTACTGGGCTGCCAACTTGAAAAGTGAAGCAAAAATCCCAGTAGTGATTTCTCCTTTTCCAATTATTAACTTTGATTCAAAATTGGTATGCAGCTTGATCTTTAAGTCCTTCATCACCATGCGAAATTTTACCTTGATCCGACTAATAGATCTCTAGACATCATAGAAATCCTATCTAACCTCAAATTGTCAAGTTTTGAAACCCTCTTGTGTTAAAAACTAGATATCTCTAAACCATACTATTAGATTATCACAAAATTTTGTATACACTTAACACACCTAATAATCCAAATAATATCAAATTTTCAACTATAGATGTTATATCAATTACATGAACTAGCCAAAATTGCTAGCCTTAATTATATTATATAAAATCCAAATCACCAATACAAACCTTGACTTTGAATAACAATTGCTAAGTCTTCAAAAACCTTCAAAAAAAATCCTTATGCCTTTAAAAATAACTTTAAGCTAGCTCTCAAATTCTATCCTTTGATATTCAAATGAATTCCTATTTTGCCCTAGGCTATCATTTTAGTGGCTAGAGGTTTGATTTCGACCCTGTCTCACAAACGATCGATCCCCGGATATCAATCTAATCTATCCTAAGGATTTTTTAGTCCAATCCTACTCTCAATTTAATCTTAATACCAATTATATTAATTATTATCTCTTTTAAGCTAATTTTATCAATTTATGGTCTTTTTAAGGTAGTAGAAGCATCTCTACAATCTAGAAGGTAAAATTACTAACTAACCTTTAATCTACTAACTATTAAGATAAGAAAATAACCTAAGAAGCTTTTATAAAAGCCATATTTAGATACTTTAAATTATAATTGAACTAAGATAATTAGATATTAATTAGAAATTTAATTTTGATTATAATTTCACTATATAGTCATATTACATCACGACATCTATCCCTTCTTAACTTATGCATCCTCCGGCATGCGCCAAATGAACCATATGTCATAATTGGCATCACATCATCTCTTCATTTTCTT